TTTCAACGTTTATTTATTTTTGGGACAGAGAGAGACAGAGCATGAACGGGGGAGGGGCAGAGAGAGAGGGAGACACAGAATCGGAAACAGGCTCCAGGCTCTGACCCATCAGCCCAGAGCCTGATGCGGGGCTTGAACTCCCGGACCGCGAGATCGTGACCTGGCTGAAGTCGGACGCTTAACCGACTGCGCCACCCAGGCACCCCTAAAATACGTCTTTAAAGAGATGTTGTAAGAAGTAAAATATGTTGGCAGAAGTGACGCCCAGGTGATCGCTTGATTATGTTGGATTTGTTCTGTTAACATAGGAGAGCTTCATTTGTTGTAGGCATCTTGGAGTCATATGGCTAGAGGACATACAAGGCTATGTGACTGTTACTTACTCTCCTTGATTAGTATTGTGCAGGTATTGGCTGTAAAATAAGAAACTTGGCTGAATGTAGAGGGAGTTAATGAGCCTTGAACCAAATTTTAGGCCCTTCTAGAAATTTTTGTTTAAAAAGTGAGTGGTATCATTGCCGTCTGCTCGAGGTTTTCTCCACTTTCCCCTTCCTTTTTCCTTTTGGTTAGATCTATGATTGAGCTCATTTCCTATGGCCCAGAAACCATGAAATGGTTAAAGGGAAAATCTGAAGTGTCTAAGAGCTTATTAGCTTTTGGAATTTGGGTACTGGGGTGACCTTCCTAGCCTACACAGCTGCCGTTTTTGGTCCCCACACTAGGAAGTCCTTCCTGACCTGATGACTAGCATTATGTTGATGGTTTTCCCAGTAGTGACTTTGAAGTGCCAGGTCTTGGGGTGGAGGATTCTTTCATACCTGAGGATGCTTCTTGGCATAGCTAAGCTGGCCAGCCACTAGTCCAGAATAGTTACTTAATGGAAGTATGAATGGCCTGGAACAATAAACAGAAACGAAGAGGAGATACTCAATTTTCTGCCCAGTTTCAGTCATTTTTGTACTTTGTACACTATTTAGGGTTAAATAATGTGAGTAGGGTTGAAAAAAATTCACTTTTCCATTTTCGTCCATTGTTGTTTGGAGACCAAATAATTTTGAGCCTTTTAACCATGGATGGCTAAGGATGCTTCTCTAAGTATAAGTGGTATTGCTTGCTTTAAATACTGTTTTACAGATTTAAATTTTCTCTGGTCTATCTTGTAGATTTTCTTATAGAATCTGTGTGTCTTAACTTGTACATATGTCTTGTAATAGACCAGATTGGTCTGTATGTAAAATACATTGCAGGACTATTTCTTTAATGCTAAATTACAGATGTGTTTTAAAGCTTTTTTTTTTTTTAATTTTAATTTTATTTTTAATTTTTTAAAATTTACATCCAAATCAGTTAGCATCTAGTGCAACAATGATTTCAGGAGTAGATTCCTTAGTGCCCCTGACCCATGTAGCCCATCCCCCTTCCCACCACCCCTCCCGTAAACCTCAGTTTGTTCTCCATATTTATGAGTCTCTTCTGTTTTGTTCCCCTCCCTGTTTTTGTATTATTTTTGTTTCCCTTCCCTTATGTTCATCTGTTTTGTCTCTTAAAGTCCTCATATGAGTGAAGTCATATGATATTTGTCTTTCTCTGACTGACTAATTTCACTTAGCATCATACCCTCCAGTTCCATCCATGTAGTTGCAAATGGCAAGATTTCATTCTTTTTGATTGCTGAGTAAAACTCCATTGTATACATATACTGTATTTTCTTTATGCATTCATTTGTCGATGGAGATTTGGGCTCTTTCCATACTTTGGCTATTGTCAGTAGTGCTGCTATAAACATTGAGGTGCATGTGTCCCTTCGAAACAGCACACCTGTATCCCTTGGATAAATACCTAGTAGTGCAATTGCTGGGTTGTGGGTTTTAGTTTTTTGAGGAACCTCCATACTGTTTTCCAGAGTGGCTGCACCAGCTTGCATTCCCATTAAAGCTTTTTATTGATTATAAATGTAATACGTTTTTCCTCCGGTATTGCACTATTTTCTTTTTGAGGTTGATATGATGCTATTAGCTTGGTTATATTCACTTAGTGAAAGCATTTCTGATGTCATTTGAAGTCTTTATTTCCTTTATTTAAAGAATGAAATTATTGGTGCGCCTGGGTGGCTCAGTCGGTTAAGTGTCTGACTCCTGGTTTTGGCTCAGATCATGATCTCATGGTTAATGGGATTGAGCCCCATGTCTGGTTCTGTGCTAACAGCACAGAGGCTGCTTGGGATTCTTCTCTCTCTCCTTTCTCTCTGTCCCTCCCCAGCTCTCTTTCTCTCCAAATAAATAAACATTAAAAAAAAAAAAAAAGAATGAAATAACTTTATTTTTGAAATGTGTGTCTTTGCAAGCCTTTCAATACAGAGGTACATTTATGTGTACATATACACACAGTAATATTTGTATAAAATGGGATATTGTTACATGTTGTTTTGATGAGATGTTAGCTGTTAACCTTACTGGAGTTCCCTTGGCTTTGAACATTTTTAGCATGATGTTTCTGTGTGCAGATTTCTTTTTTTTTTTTTTTTTTTT